ACATTCCCCACTGAGATGTGGTCGTCACTCCAGAGCACAGGGGTTTACCATTAAGAAGGCACTCAAGTTTCTGCAAGTAAACCAATGTTTGAAATCTTTCATCAAATTTTGGGCTATAAGATGGAATTAACTCAGTTCAGTATTTTTCGAACCACTGATTCGTACCAAGCAACTTGATGATAATCAAATTGTTCTTTCTCTGGATATTTGCTTAAAATATCCGGGGACATTTTTGCTGCCTGCAACATAATCTTCAATAAACTGGTTTATTCCGGTGTCAAAAACAAAGGGTTGGTCTGAAAGAAAAATTTTGCAAACTGCACTTCTAGCATACTCATCGCAACGATGACGATAAATTAGGCCTCGTGCAGGTCAGCAAGCCTTAGGTCGGTGTAGTTTTGAAGCATGGATGCTTTTACCTCCCCCTGTTCACTTTGTGCGATAGCAAAATAATCAAATACAGTCAGGTCCTGCGGATAAGTAGTCCTTAGTGTAAGACTTCAATCCGTTTAACCAGAGGTTATGTTCGTATTTGCTCATCCGAGTTGTTCGACCGCCAATAAGATATTCAGTTCACGATAATAACCCGCTCCGGAAAGAATGGTTTTAGACCGCAACATTGGTTCACCTGTTTAAATTGCATACATTCGACTGGTCTCTGCTATTATATTGTGATACGGTAGGGACACGAATGAGAAGCACTGTTAAGCAATTTAAATCATAGAGCTCGTTGATGATTGGCAATAGTTTGTTGATGTTTCCTTTTACTCTCATCTTAGACACATTTGAAGGTACTTAATTTCAACACAAACGTCTGCGCCGCTTGAGTTCAACGCTGGCAGAACTGATGTAAATTAAACGTCCTTTACAGATGGGAGCACTCTGGGCTCCTGCTCAATAACCATTTGCCACTGACAGATCGACCATTATGTGGTGAGTACAGGATGTTGACTTGCCGGTGAACTAACCAGATTATAGTGCCGACAGAATTGCGCAGCACCTGTCGTAGGCTCTCCTTCCTCTGACGGCAACAAGGACATGTCATGGCGACAGATGCCCAATCCGGGTGCTGTGGTTGGAAATAATAAACAACCTGTCCAGGCTTGCCACAGGCGACCTGGTCTCCGCACAACAGACCATGTTCTGCCCTGATTCTGCATACGATTGTGGATCTCTCTAATTGGGAACCTCCAAACCCTGGAAGGAACACTTCACCCAAAGCCCGTGATGGGATTTGTCCACACCTGATCCAACTGATCGAGCCAGCGACAGTGATGTTAGAGACGTATTGTCTTCGATATGGATGAAGAACCACCGGCATCACAAATCACTAGACTTTATGGGCCTTCCGATTAGTGTTTTAATTTGCAAACTATAACTAACCCTGTCACAAACATCCAAGCCGCATCTGTTCCATCTATTTAAACCCTATCACTAAATATGGAGTTTAATTCTCTATTCTTCATTTTAACTGGTTTGACTGGTAATGCTTCCAGGCACTGTAAGCGGCAGCACATATACAAAATACTCGAGCAATGTCGGCTTATATTATTTTTGTTACAGAAGCGTTAACATCAGCATGTTAATCATAGAGAAGTTAGAAAGGTTTGGCCTGAAAGACGCACGTTGAGGGAAACATACACGATTTGCTTTTAGAAGTGTGCCGCCTAACGGTCGTCCTTCAGATCAGGAAGCTTATCGTGAGAATGCTGTTGTCAAAAAAGCATTCAGCAAAGAGACTGAACGCTTTGAAAATGATGAGTTAAACGCATAACGAAACAAACGTTCAGGGAAGACGGAAAAATTGGCAGAAACGCTAATTCGACCGCATCCGTCCAATCCGCCTAAGCATTATTAGTTGATGAAGCTAATTTTGACAATCTTCTATATACGCAGGAAGTGGTAAAAGAAACAAGGAATTTCTCTGTCATGTGAAGAGACTAAAGAACAGCACGAATACCATCAAACTACATGTGAGTTGACAGTTCAAATGCCAGTTTCGACGGTATTCACCGCGGGTTTACAGCAGGTTGAGGGCAGGCACGGTAACTTGCGCATGACTTAGATTAAGAAGGCAGTTGACTTGCACAACGTCAACTGCACTCCCCTACACTTCCCCACCTCAGCGCTGTACCACGACATAGTTAAGAAGTTGGGAGGTGGCAGAGGGCGTAGGTGACTGTCACGTTCGGACCCGTACCTAGGCATGCCACCACACTTTGTCTACAACACACACTGCGCAGGATTTTATAAACCAATAAAATAGAGCGAAAAATTGCCCGTAACCCAAGTTGACCCCTTGAGATCCTGAATCTTAACCTGCAGCAACAACCCTGGCCCACAACACACACTGACCGGATTATGGGCTCCAACAAAAAACAAAAGGATGACGACGCGCAGCTATAGCCGGCAGGGGTTCTACAGACTGGGATTACCATCCAAGTCAAATTATGAGGAAGCCCTTGTAGCCTGACTGTTAAACCACCAGTCCGCCACTCCAAATAAACAAATATACTGGGCGGGTGGACAGATTACATATGAAGTACTTCCTCCAGAAGATGAATACTTGCATTTCCGCATGACTGATGACAAAAATGTATCCGTTGCGATAATCCTTAGTTAAACTTGCCCTGAATGACGTCCGGTCGATAATGGACACAAATGCTAGAGCAGAGTATTCAATGAAGTAAAATTATCCTGTACAAATATCGGAAACAAAAAGAAGTGGTGTAGCTGGATTTGCTGAAGCTATCTCAAACAGTTACTGTTGGAGGATATTGATAGCAATTAAAAAAATCAGCCAAATGACAGCCAGCATATGATGGAATATATGACAAGTTTATTTATCGACATGAAAACTCTATGCCCTATATTTCACAAACAGTGGAGGAAACTCCAAAATTGTTTTTCTGAGAAGCCTCACCCCACCCGCCGTGTTCAACAGATATTGTTTCCCAAGGTTGGCATGCGTTTCGGTCGATGAAATATGGCCTTTTCGAGCCCCAATTCATATCCTATGAAAAGTCAAACAATGGCTCGATCAGTGTAATGTCATTGGTTTCCCAAACGCTCACTCCATTTATTACACAGACGATGGTGAATGGCTATACCCGCACGCAGACAAAAATACATTGCATATTTCGGTCTAACTTAGCAGTGTTTGTTTGGAAAGTAAGTACTTAATTTAAGTTCTTCTTCCATGGTTCCTTCACCCCTGTAAGCAGTTCAAAGCCCACGCTAGCCAAATCAATGCGAAAAAGCATTATTTATGTCAGAACCGGCGCACGTGCATGCCTCTAAGACAAGATATTCTCTACGGCGACGACACAGAGTTAAAGCCCGTTGAGAGAAACTGGTACATCATACCTGTTGTTCCGATGAACCCCTGTAGTTTAGAAGCCACTTTAGCTCAATCACAGACGATGCGGACTGCCACGCGTTGTTTTTACCCCGAAAGTCATCCAAACCTACAAAAATAATATATATTTTGAGTATAAAGTTGCATCAGGCGCCGTATGCCTAGGCTGGCTTGCGATCTGTCCACTGTCAGCTTCGATGCGGCCTTTTTGCAGATAAATCATGCAAGCGACTGAGGGGCTACACTTACCGGACCAGTGATGTCGGTAGGAGACCATGTCGAACTGGCCATTCTTCCGATATACGCAAGTATAAAACGACATTCTTTCATCTCCTTGTTTAACTTCATACTTCATAACCGTGCGGTTGTGTTCCGTTTTCAAAACTAATTCATGTAAAAGCGGATTAAACAAATGAATGTCGTAATTCAACGACAGAAAGCGGTGCAAATGAATTAAATAGGCCACATATTTTAACGAAATAACCCACCGCAAGGGTTTGGATCTCCACAAATCTTCTGGCTATCTGAGTAGCAAAGAAGCTGAAATTTAGACAAAGACACAAGGATCAGAGACGACTTTACCATCAGGTGCCGTCTGCAAAATAATTCTTCGTCCTTCTAACAGAAACATGGGCCACACACGAGAAAATGACACTGAAAATTGTGCATACAACAACGTTGCCGGTGGTACACTTGCAACTGACCACCCGAAAAACTTCATTGTTCCCAGGAGTGGACGCCAATATTGCGAAATTTCTTAAAAGACTCGTTCTTCTTTGGTCACTCGTAGTTTATCATAGGCCATTTGCATAAACCCTAACAGTCTGTTAGGGTTTTTTGTATTTTTTTACGTGAAACATTGCCAGCCTGCCCACTTTATGTGGATGCAATTCTCCTCCCCTTTCGCGTGATACACTGGGGTCGCCTTATCGTTTCCGATGGAATTATTAACTAAACATTAGCTGCGCAACACATCAGTCATATAAATGTGTTTCCTTTAGCGGACTGGCAGACTAGAATGACCATTTTGGGCTCATTAGCCGTCGGCAGATAGTCAAAGCCCACCACAAAGTGTGGAGCATTTGGGGCTCGAAATCGCGACCTGTTGGTTAGAAGTCCAACGGTTTTATTCACTGAGCACGGGCTCGTGATCTTGTCGGTTCCGGTTGGGAATATACAATGACACTCACTATTGCAGTCGCTCTGGTCTTCGTCGCTAATATCGTTCTGCATCGCGCGGCTGTGCGGTTGACGATTGAGGTCGAAAAAGCACATAAGTCACGAGGGCAAAATTGAGTTCCATAGAGACGATCAGTGCGCGTCCACCTACCATTCCTTCGTGTCAATCAACCCATTCAACACTTTGCTAGCGAGAAACGTCTTCAAAGACGGTTCCGGTAAATTGTTTCATTTACTTCACACTGCCAATAGTTGCTACATACGAATGTGAACCCTTGGGTAGCTTTCTTTACTGTGAATGTTGTTTTACGCGTACTTCACTGCAACCTTTTAAGGGATGTAATAAAGGCATCAAAAATATAAGGAAATTTGGAGCACTACTGCGCATGTTATATTCAACGATGAACGCCCCGGGATCCGCATCGCCTACAGGACGGATGGTCACCTCCTGAATCAACGGCGGATGCACTTCCAATCGCGCGTATCCACAACCACCGTTCACGAACTCCTCTTCGCCGACGACTGCGCCCTAAACACCACCTCGGAAGAGGAGATGCCACGGAGCGTGGACCTGTTCTCCGCCGCCTGCGAGAACTTCAGTCTGGTCATTAACACGCAGAAGACGGTGGTGATGCACCAACCGCCACCCAACTCGGCCAAAGCCCCCAACGCGCCGCCGCAAATCAGCGTGAATGGGACCCACCTGCAAGTGGTGGACAACTTCCCGTACCTGGGCAGTACTCTCTGCCGCAACATCAAGATCGACGACGAAGTCGCCAACAGGATCTCGAAAGCCAGTCAAGCCTTCGGTCGCCTCCAAAGCACAGTTTGGAATCGCCACGGTCTTCAGCTGAGCACAAAGCTGAGGATGTACAAGGCCGTCATCCTGCCGAACTACTGTATGGAGCGGAGACTTGGACGGTGTACGCAAAGTAGGCACGTCGTCTGAACCACATTTACCTCAATTGTCTTCGTCGCATCCTGAGGCTCATGTGGCAGGATCGAATCCCCGACACTGATGTGCTGGATCGGACGGGATTTCTCAGCATCTACGCCATACTGAGGCAAATTCAGCTGCGCTGGAGCGGCCACCCGGTGCGCATGGATGACGAGCGACTACCCAAACGACTCTTCTACGGAGACGTCGCGAGGGGTTCTCGCCGTCAAGGGGGCCAGATTCGCCGTTACAAGGACACTCTGAAGTCCTCCCTGAAATGCGTGAAAATCAACCCCACCAACTGGGAGGAACTCGCACTCGATCGATCGACCTGGAGGAGGACAGTGAAGACAGGCGCTGCGATCTACGAAGCCAACCGTGTCGCTGCCGCCAAAGCGAAACGTGAAGTCGGCAAATCACAACATTGCGCAGTACGCAACACCACCGCACAACCGCTTCCAACGTGTCCTCGATGTCAACGAACATTCCGGGCTCGAATCGGACTTGATGGACATCTGCGGATTAACTACGCCTCTCGAACGGCACCAAACATCGTCCCCCCGTCTGCCTCTTCCTCCTTCTCTCCGCCGTCACCTAACCCTGTCAATTCTTCTGACCCACCACTTCCATCATCCTCCTCCTTCTCCTCCTCCTCGCCCACTGCTCCATCGGCGGCCGCTCAGGCGACTGTCCCGAGCACAGCAACCGACACTACCACCACCTCCCCCGACTCCAGCGATGAGGATCAGGACTACACCTGCGCTCACTGCGACCGTACCTTAACCTCACACAGCGGCATGGTCGGTCACTTGCGAATCCATCGCACAGAGAATGGCGAACCAGTGCCTGGAGCACCCACCTATACCCACCAAGCTCGTCTCAGCTGCCCACACTGTCCTCGCACTTTCAGGCATCGCATGAGCCTCTTCGGCCACATGCGCATCCAAGACGACCTGCGGTGGACAACCGCCGGCCACACCACACATTCACTCACTCCCTACCTCCTCCTCCACCACCACCATCACCCTACCAGAAATCAACACTCGCGCACCTCCCACGCAAGTGGGAAGTCCGCATTTCGACTCGGTCCCCATGCGGCTTTGGCTGCACGGGTGACTTGAGTCCGAGACTATCCCGACACGTCAAGCGTCATGGATAGGAAGATTGCTGATTGACGCCCGCTTTCGGTTCACGCAGTTCGTCGCGTTGTGCGTTTGTTGTGTGAAGATGCGGACTGGTGGGCCGGGAACGGGCTGAAACAGCATCTTCCACGGCACTCTCACGCAAGTGAGAGACACGCCGTTCTACCCCCATTGTGTGAAATCCTGGTGTTGTGTGTATGGGGGGGGGGGCGTGCCGTGGCGCGCGCAGTCATGGTCAGTCGATCATGCCAACCACCGCGCCCATTCCCCACTCCAGTCTGCTGACCGGCTCGGACAGCGGCTGGGGTGTGGGAGTGGGAAGGGAGAGTGAGGTCGATGACTCAGCGCACTTTCTCCTCATTATAAACAATCTGACGCGCTTGAAGCTATCACGGTGCTCTAAAAGCCGTGGCTTGGAAGGTTGCCAACTGACGGGGTAACTTGGACCTCCTCCTTAACCGGAGGCGGTCTGAGAGTCAGGTTGCAATGGCTCCTTCTTAATGTGGCCTTTATGGCGATCCCATTACAGTGTTGGATCCGAGCCAGGCGTTGGCGGCACGCCCAGGTGCGGCTTCGGCCGTGCCAGCCTCCAAATCCCTCTTTTGTTGGCTGAAATCCTGGTCATTTGTTGTGTGGACCAGGGAGTTTGGTAGAACGCCAAGCTGAGGATCCGTCCGAGCCATCCACCTGCGGCCTCTCTCGTCTCCGGTCTTCTTGACTCTGTCTTGACACCGGGCTCGGGCGAGGGAGGAGGAGAGAGTGCAGGTAGATGCTACGCAAGTCTACCGGCACTATAAACTCCTGCGTAAGTCACCGTCCCTGCTCCCATTGCTGCTGCAGCTATGGGGCACACGGTGGACATCATCGAAACCGATGGTCAAAATGTCCTATTCAAGTCTGTAGCAGTAGTGTATAATGAGAACTCCGGTACACCGTGAGGAAAAGCGGAGGGAAAATTTTGCGATTTTTACTTACTCCTGAAACATCTACAGCGAATGGCAACTGCCAGACCAGGTCCATCTCCGTCTCATTTTCGGACTTCTTTGACAGACTGACACTGTCATAGCCAAAGGTTCCTTTAAGAGGGAAGTATTTAATCAGATAATTTCAAATGTTCTGTTTGAAAGCGCGGTAAATAACTTTGAACAGAAAGTGGCCGAGGTCAGTAAAAAAAGTGTCACTTGTTTAAAACGGCAAATATATCTCCGTTCTGCGATTACTTTATATTTACTGCTTTTCGAACTAACTGCTGTCAATTCTGAGGCAACAACATTCCTACATTTTACGGTCTAACATGAAAAGGAACATAAGGTCTGAAATGAGACGGTTAGCCGAAGTAATATATAAACACACGAATATATCAGTATTGCACACTTCGCACGACGTACGATTGGTCGACAATGCGGCAGAAATATGTTCAACCCTTAGCCAGTACTTTGCATACTTTTTGTTTGGCTGATCAGCCCCAATGAAGAATTCCGTAGTACCCTGTATCTCAGGGATGAACAGCGTCAGTCGGGGATATTTTCCCACTAAAAGCAAAAGGAAATTTTTCTTCATTTTTCATTTACCCGTTCTAACGATGTTTACGGTAGTTCAAAGTTCGGAAGCAGGGTGTTTCAAGTTGGTATTGATGAAGTACGGCTAAAAGCACTTTTTTACTTTTCCAAATTTTACTTGTTCTGATTTTTCTTTGTGTCACTGTGCAGTCTCGGAAAATGTTATTAATTAAGTGATACAGTATTTCATTGCTTTTATTGCGCAAGCATCCATTCCAGCTGGAAGGAAAGCTACTAGCTAAAGGCACAGACAATCGTTTTTTAAGATCTCGTTCCGCCGCATGAACAAACAATGCGGAGGTATGTTTATCCATTTCTACTTCGCTGCCTTGCGTCCTCCATGTGCTTTCGTTTTATTCGACCTCCAGTTTAAATGTTGCATTGTTTAAACCTGTTGGACAAAAACGCGCGAACTAGGCGCACGTTGAAAAATAAGCTTTCCGAGCCCGCTTCCAAAGCTGGTGTGAACATTCGAGCTAAAACCCATCGCCTGATAGAGAGTTGATGGCCACCGACAGGCAGTTAATGACACGCAAATACCAAAAAACGTATAACATTTGTATGAGCTAAACGAATTTTTTTCTTAAAGATATATCCAACCTTTGTGCCGTATGTTCAGAGGTAATTGAAAGAGACTCACTTGGCTAAACAGAAACCAAAGCACGTTGTTAATGAGCCTTGAAGTTATTTCCCCAGACAATGGCCGCAAGTGGAAAGGAATGTGATTGTTGAATACGAATTCATTCCTCTATCGTGCTTCTGACAGTCTACATCGACATCAAACTCCTGCTAGACAGAGGGTGTATGAGTTCGGCAGTTAGCGTCTGCCCTGTGAAAACGAGTGAGGGGTCATTAAAGGCGTACGGTCCTTTTGCTTTACCGCTATCTATTGTTCACGCGTCCTCAACAGAACGTATTATGTGATGGCAGTATCAAGTCGGAGTTTAACGTAAATGTCGCACCAGGCGAAACAACTGCGATTGGAATGCCATCTCTGGAATATTTGTTTCTGACAACGGGCTTGCAGGGATCAGAGATCTGGAGGAGCGGTTTCCGATACCCGATTCCGCACGGCTTTGAACTTAAAGGGGGATCCAAGTGGACATGCTCTGGTCTGGAATCATTGGTCGAATTTGCATTTGGAACAAGTGTCGAGCTGGTGGCAAATCTTCACGCTCAACATATGTGATAGCTTAAATGCCGTTGCTCTGGCCAGGTTTGTGCAGACTTCAACACATCAGGAATATACAGTGAGACATTTTAGGACTTTTCTATTGGTTTTTCGCTTAAGCTTGCTCAACTGACTTTCTCTCTGATGGCTATAAAACACGTTTGAAAATAACAAAACTCTAATCATTTTCCTTCTGGATCTGGCGTTATTTATGTGCGATAGCGGGGGTGTGATATGAAGAGTCGGATCAAATGTACGTTAACTCAACTAATCACTAATTTCTCCAGCGTTTTGTCTACAGATAGAATGACTGACCGCACTCTGTACACAGACCGGCTACAAATACGCATATGCAGTAGATGCGCAGTCTCATGAGATTTTAAGTGATATTCTGAAATATGTTTTCGATTTGTTTAGATTTGCAGTAGGGCTCGAATATTAACGTTTACGCAGCATCACTCTAAAAGTGTTCAGCCGCGTCAAGATGCCGGCCTTGAATAAACGCCCTTTCGGTCGTCTTCAGAGATTGCACCCTGCAAAATATGACTGCAAAGGCAACATGTCATTTTTTTACTAAATTTCTGGCACGTGAAATTCTTCGTTCTTGAAACTGCTTAGCAGCTTATTGCGTTTTCCGCAACTTTTTTACCTGACGAAGAGTGTCTTTTGGTATTACAAATTGGCAATTATGACTACGAACACTTTGGAGATAGACATTGATAATTTACAGTTTTTGAGACTATGAGAGTTCGAGTTGTACAGCGTCGTACCGGCAGGTTTACCGATGTCACTTATGCGGTAGTTAACATCCACCACATCCATTGCGCAGTTATACGAGTTCTATATGGCGTCTTCCAAAAGGCACAGGTTAATATGTGATAATTACTTAACACAATGTAATTGGCAAATCCTCAGAGCGAATGTAAGGGCATGTAAGATGATAAATTATTTGGAAACTGAAAAAATTTCCTAAGAATCAAAAAAATACTTGCTCTTTAAGCAGCGAATTTGACGAACACGCAAATGTAATATAAACAATATTGTATGCATGTCTTCTATTAATTTTTTAGAATTTATAAGAGCGCCTAGAACAAGTGGGAAAATACTATAGGAGTTATGTATTCAATTTTATGGACACTGGTTTTTACAGAGGTATAGAAATGTTCATTTGGAAGCCAGTAACCTTCTGCGAATGGAACGTATTAGAGAACACTGCAAGTTTATTAATATTATTCCAACTTTATATAAGTTATCTTTCCAAATTCAAAACATGTTTCAGACTTTCAGTTAAAATTTTAGGCGACAATACACATCTCATATGTAGACAGTCTTTACGTCATTACTGATCCCCAAAACGCTTTGGCTAACCCACCCATCATCACAGTATTTTTGTGCGCATTTTAAGTCACTCCGACTAATCTCTGAGAAAGCTGCGCGGATGAAACACTACTTATCTCGTCATCATGGTAAATTGAATGTCACGTGCATACCGTTGGTTGCCTTTTTCCGATGTATAAATATTGAGACAGCTGGTGGACGTCAATCCAAGTATCCATTTTAACTCATATGTTGAGCCCGTGAAGGTGAATTTAGATTGCATTATTTAAGGCTTACGATAGATTTATATGAATATAACAAGCTCACATTTGTAAACTAAAGTATCTACCAGGAAGCATCCTAGCGAAACAAATATGCCGAGCCCTAGTCAGAATGGGAGGAGTCGCCATCCTTACATCAGGAATGTGTCTGAACTCGTTGGACGCCTCTTGAGCATTCACCAAATAAATGTGGCGCAGAGGCAGGCGACTACCTTGCGAACTAGGCATGTGAACCCTAAAGGGAGTGTCTGCGATCTCGATAACAGGCAAGTCGTCTTTAAGATCCCATTAAATACCCCAGATGCCGCAAATCTTGGCTAAACGGGACAATCTGTTCGTCAATCCATTCACAAACACCAACTGAGAGCTAAAAGGAGAGGCAACCTGTCTCAAACGGTCATTCGCACCCTTGAATTTTGGCGCACATTCGAATGGGACAAAACTAGCATCATCGGAGTTTATTCTTCCGAAATGCCCGAAGGTGTATTGAAGGCATGCATTTCGATGAATCATACATAAGCAAACACATCGAGATAGATCTCATGCAGAAAGATCTCACAAAAAATTGGGAGGGACGAGAGTCAAAGAATAGCGAACCACACAAACGGCGGCCGCTTTCTGGCTCAAGTGCTAAATGAATAGCGGTTTTTCAGCAAGTTGGAAAAATTAGTTGTTTTTTTCACATTTACTCAATTATGAGGATGTCCAGAGGAACCAGCGTCAAAACACTTCCCAGTAAATGTCCACGGTTTTCCCAAACAATATGCCTGCTTCCAAATTATATTTCTTTGAATGCTTCCCTTCCACTTCGCTTGAATTTGCGTAGTTCATGAGCTTACTCATGAAATTTTGTTTGAAATTTTTAAATTCCTCAGGGACTGGAAAAGAGTGCCTTAGTAGTATTGCTATGTTAATTACCCTGCATCATACTTCTGTGGTGATGAAGCTATTTCAGGATTCCAGCTTTTAATGAAACTTCCTTCCCGCAGCCTAAAAGACTATGCTCTGTAAAGGTAACTTCTCATATAATAAGAATTTTTCTCATTTATTTTCAATACCCTTATACATTTGATTACATTTCGCCTAACATATGCATGAAAATATTTATTCTTTTATGAATTTGATCAAACAGTTGAACCTGATTTAAATCCTTCACTTGCAGCAAGGACATAATTTGATTTTAGAAGAGTTTCAAATTATGGGAGTTGTTAAATGCTGAAAGGTCCATTCACAAAACATTGTGTCCCTGTTTTTGCTAATGTTGCTTGTGTAATTTGCAATGTGGATCAAATTTACTGTTACATTTTGTGAACCCCACAGACTGTTCTCTTAATACCCTAGGTTAACGCATAAGGCTTTCTGGCACAATGGTATTACCGACAAAGACAGTCTCCTTTTTCTTTGTCGGTAATACTATCCTGCCTATATCATGCGCCGCTGAGCGGCTGCTGGTTGGACTCGAAAGAGAGCCCGTAAGGCGCACCACGACTAAAGTGTTCCGCAGAAACGATCGGCGAGCGTCCCTCTACCATGATTTGTGCACGGAAAATATGCAGCTGGTAGTTTGGAAATCCTGAGTGCCCATGTTACGGCAATTTGGATTCAAAATAATTCGGGAATCGAAAAAGTTTTCTATGAAACTTAACTCTGGCCTACATGCAAGAGTAAATTTAGAAAAAATAATTCCCTTTCCAAATAAGCAAATGAATGGATATTTTTATGCATATCCTCCATGAAAAATACTTGAGCTTATAGTGGTGTCGAAAAGCACCGAGAAAAATCCAAGCTGCCTGAGTCGTCAATTTTCAGAGAGATTAGCTTTTGCGAACACCGGAAGGAATATCTTTCAAAAAATGGATTCCTCAATAACCGAATTATTCCGGAATAATGCTGATGGATATGCATATTTCTAACTGTTGGCAATTTATGAAAATAACGTGGTTATTCTGCGGTGACTGACATGCGCCCACGCAATCCTATCTCATTTATCTTAAGTAAACAATCGATTTCTGAGAAAATTACCAGAGCCTTAATTTCACAACTGGAACGCATAACCGAAATCACACATTAAATACCAAGGTTTTGGCAGTATTGTTGGTTGCCAGTACGGCAGGTCATAAAGCATAGCATATACTATACAGCAAAAATACCAAACCACTTGCCTTGTACAACCTTACAGTGGATAGGTCCATCATTTGTCACTATCATACATGTGTCATCTTGAGTTTGCACATCAAAGCGCTTCAGCTGGAAGAGCACGAACTACGGGAAACGAAAATAGCGCAATTCAAAAGGTAGATACGGTTCCTGTTCAAATTGATCGACTGGTAGATTAGTGCGTGATTTTCTTACTTACCTCCGGCATGCCTGGTAGAAGCGTCGTAAATATAAATGGTCCGCGTTCCTGAGTAAAAACCGGGCGTACACTGTCAAAGGAGGGGATATCTGTGCAAAAGTAATGACAGGAGAACGGTCAGTTCATTATTCTTTTTACTTGGTTTGCGACCGGACAAATATCCAAAACGTTTTTGCATCGTGATCTAAATCAGTCAGCTTGTTCTCGCTACGACTCTCATTATGCGAATCATAGTCCCCCCTGTAAGAGGCAATAATAAATCAAGTATTTCGCCTGAGAAATTTTGATGAATACTTTAACTTTACGCAGTCGTCTTTCATTTGCATTTACCTTACGTTTTTTGTTGCTAATTCATGCAATGTTCAAATATATATCTTACACTGATTTTGACTGTGCAAAAGGCACGTGTATTTGGACATGTTGGTTTACATCTTTTCATTTTGCAAGCGAGCTGTTTGTCGTGCAGCAAACTGCAAACGTCCAGTTTATAGCCTGACAAAGCTTGATTTAATAAAAACCCTATTATCATTTAAATGTTAGTTAAGACAGCAACCAGTTCATCATTGTTTTTCACTGAACGTTTACGGGGCGTTTATGGGGCTCGAGAAAGGCGCTTCGAAAAGGAAGGTTACTGTTAATTTTCACTTACAACGTTCGTTCCCTGGATTACTCTGGGAAAAATCCACTATATTCGATGGATCCCAAATATAAATAATGGCTTAATTTCAGAGGTTATGTTTTCGGTAATGCTCGAGTAGGCAAGCGCTAAATAAAAAACGATGAGAGGTTTAAAATACCCATCTCACGGTCGCATCTTTGCTTACCATGAATGTAGAGATCCTTATGTGATTCATTTACTTTGACAATGAGAGTTTCAAAGAAAGAAACATCGGGCAAAGTAATGTTCACGTGACACTGTGGCAAAGCTAAAACAAAAAACACGATGCAATACGACGTGTTCCTCAAAGACGAAAAAAAGCTATGAGAAGTTCTGTTTAAATACCCAGACATTTTCAGGGTGTATATTCAGTAGCTGCTTTACGTTGGGTTTTAAGCTGTCAGTGACGACAAGCATAGAAATTCAGATAGACTTACAACATTCAACGGGGCAGGAAAATGCAAATGCTTTGGATGAATTCAGCTGGCATGTGCCGTTAACGGCTATGAATACGTCCTCGTCAATGGTGAAGGTCACTTCCTACGCAGGGAAATGAGAGAAATTCGGTTAAATAACTAGCCGATAGCATTAAATTAATATGGGAACGAAAATTGATCATATGTCCTTTGTAGAAATTGAAGCGAGGCTTACCGAAGCCTCGTTGGAAATTGGCACTTGTAACGAATATGGGCCCGAAGACTGCGAAATCTCGTATCTTCCGAATGACATCTGAGCAGGGTTGTCGGCTAAATGGTGGAAATGGAGGTTGGAATTTATGGCAATCGAGGAACATCGCACTTTGCAATGTGAAATTGGTCTGCCTCCTCAAGTTTTTATTTCTGCTATTTCAAGCAGCCATACAGGTCAAGGTAACGTCTGCCGAGTGCTTTATGTGAAATGGCTGAGTCCCAAAGTAACAGGTGTAAAGAATTTATTACATTGCAAAGCGGTTTTTAAGAAACTCACCGATCGTCAGTACTGAGGTTAGCAGCAGCAGCAGTGCACGTTGGAGCATGGCGCTGGCGTAGATGTGCGTAGATTACAAGCGCTGTTTGTGCACAACCCGCTATTTATGTTAGGTGTCCACAACTGAACTCATTTGACCTCTGTGAAATGTCTTCGGATTGTCTTGGTTCGTGTACTGCGATGGGCTCTGCTGGGGGGAGCCAATGGCATGCCTTAGACTCACACTAGCTATCAAGACTGGGTCTTTTTACTGAACAACAGAAGAGGTCACTTTCGTGCGACATGTTAGAAGTACGTAAAGCAGTAAGACTGAGGATTATGATGAACACCTGCTCTAGAACGTATCACGTTTTGCACATAACATTTAAAGTACTAAATTTCTGTAGGATGCTGTATAGCATTTCCTCCTCCAGAAACGTATTTTAAAGACCGGCATTGCATCGACAATCCTAGTTCATCTGTGCTAATACTGAAAAAATCGACCTTGGGATGAAATATTAAAAGAACGCATTATTTTTTGGACGAGATGATTCACATATTACCAGTTGTAAGGGTAAATGTCTGCCTCGTAATGGATACTTGTTCAGTATCAGCAACTGTCAGTTGGCCAAACAGTCCTGCAGCAGTTCGAACCTGACAATGTCCACCACGCGCCTCGCAGCGGTCTGGGCTCGTTGGCGATTACTTTCTCGTGCCCCATCTCCCACAGTCATTTCCCGCTGCGTACATCCCTGGATTCGTTGCAAGCACAGAGTCAAGATGACTGGCGGCAGGCCGGGTTCGTGTAATTGAGGCGGCACAATCCTGTACCTAGGCGCGCCACTGCACCCCCTTCCACTGTATGTCATTTATGTGGGCTCACATGACAATAACGCGTGCCGTGCCCTTATCTGGCACCGGCGCTGGTGCAGCTCGCACATATCAGCTCGATTTTGTTCTTAGCCTACTAGCCAAATCGTGTTTGCGAACCAACCGAGCAGTAACACTGCAATACATTGTGTGACCAACCTCATGAAATGTTGGCCGAAATTCTGAAATTCGTTTTCGATTAGGAAGGATTATTTAGGTGGAGTTGTAATACTGACAAGCGTGCGGCATAAACATATAGCATTTCGGACTCGCCAGAATGTCGGCTTTTAAAGTCACTCCTTCTTGACCTCCTGCAGAAACCGTACTCGTTTAGAAATAATTACTTTTTAAAACCTAGATATGCACTTTCCTCGGGCATAAAATATGAGCACAATGTGATTTCCTACCAAATGAGCCAAAGGAAGCATATTTTGTTCATCTTTTCTGTAAAATATATTTCACCGTTTAAAACTACCGAACATCAATTGGAAAAATGCATGCCACGTAAGTAGTCCTTTTTACCCAGTGTGGTTTCTGCAGGAGGTTAATATGAAGTGCATTCAAAAGATGACATCCTGGCGAGTCGGAAACATTACTGGATTATGCCGCATGATAATCAGTATAACAACCCCACTTAAGTTATCCTTCCTATTTGGAAACCTATTCCAGAATTTTGGCCAACATTTCATGAGATCGGTCACGCACTGTACGTATTCTCCCGGTCACATCTGGTGAATGGTTTGCGAATGGTCTTCTAAAAGCAGAACTTGCCGGAAACGGCAGCTTTTCATTCGTTTTACTAGTCATACAAGTGTCATTTTCTGCTCTAGCAACATTGTCTGCAATGACAAACAGGGAAAATAGTCGAAAGAGTTTCGTGAAGCAACTGTTTTATTATTAACAGAAATCCACACTGGCTAGTCCAAAAAACCAAATTTCACGCCATCATATAGCCCGTTGTATCCACTGCTTCCAGGCGAAAGTAATCATCCGCAACGTTTTTAATTTCACACACGATTTGTTGCAAGTTCAATGTCAATAACTGTTATCAGCATCGGTGTTTGTGCAAGATATGAAGTGGTAGGGCAGTAAGGATTGTAATCATGCAGAACACTTTCAACCAATTTCGCCATCAATTAATCGAAGTGACAGGAAGACTCTTGTTCCTGTTAGCAAATGTTTAAAGATAAAAAAAGAAAAAATATTTGAAATTATATGTGCGCTCTTGCATTGGGAAGAACATTCGCCATTTATGTTTAATTGTTTTGTCCATTGAACTTTATTGTCTGCATCGTGCCGAAGTAAATTTTAAGAAGCAGTAAGACCGGTTGTTGACTTATTCGCGCAGGAAGTGTGTTTGAGGAAGGCATTAATATCGCCCATCATAATGCTGCTTATTCAGAAGCAGCTACCATGTCAGATGCCAGCTCAACTAGTTGGCGCCGAAAAGAGTACTCTCCACTCACGCCTGCAGGTCGTCTCTGCTCTGGTTTGCATTTAAGTCTATTTGATCCGAATTCGATTCAGTTGAGAAAGCACTTCCGATGTTGAGAAATATTTCTCCGCTATTTGTAAGTCGGCAAATCGGTAGGGTTTTGTGAAAACCAAAACTTTCAATGCATAGTACAAGACGACTTATAAAACGTGCAGAATGAGTAAGGTGGAGTACGGGTCGTAGTTGCTTAAGAGAAATAACTATTGCACAAGTCCTGGGTACATCGAGTTTTTCAATGTTGGGCGAAACTGAATCATTTGAATTGGCCCGGACTGACCGTCTGCGTGGTCATCCGTTCAAACTGCAAAGGAAGCGGGCTAATTCGGACGTCCGACGGAACGCCTTCTCACACAGGGTCATCGGGGCATGGAATGGACTCCCTGATGCTGTCGTTCTTTCCGAAAGTGTTAAATCCTTTAAGTGCAGACTAGACGCTCACTTGTTGAGAACCTACTGTACATACAATCATGATTGTTTTAGCGGCGGCAGTTTGCGCCTGGCTCACACTTACCGCTAACTTCTTAACTTTTCGCATTTGCTGATGTAATTGATGACTTTATTTCTGTTTATCGACATGAATAGGGTGCTCAAGGGCGAAAGCCTCATTCCCTTAATAAACTGACTTAAACTGACTTAAACTGACTTATTTAAAATCTGATCAAACGTCGGCTATATCGAGTGTGTCATAGAAATACGTACAAACAAGGACATTGCATACACCCAGTTGTTGGAAGTCCCTTAATAATATTGGCGTTTGTGATCAGGTGATATTTCCAACCATTTAAAGGACAAAATGGTTTGTCCACACAATATCTTGGAGGTATAGATCGCATGCAGTAAGTGGGCTAGCGCATAAAATGTTAACAGAAATTCCGGAATGCGTCCTTGTCTAGAAATTTTTACTTAAGTATGGTTGCAAAACTAATCATCGCGCAGCATAATTCGGTCTTTGGGCTGAATGTAAAATTTAATCTCTGTAAAAATTGCTACTTAATTCGCATGCACTCCCCTCATCGATTTTAGATGCCCTTACATATGAAATTAAATTTCATAGAAAACATGCTTAAAAATATTCACCCTTTTGCATCGTCGGTAGAAAACGACGTGTTCTTCTACTTTTTTACTCTACATGAGTGTATTCAGAAAGGCTTCTGTCTGTAAGATTTGTTAATACCGTGAAATGCCCGGTCATAAAACGTCATGTCTTTGCATTTCCGAGTGTGGCTTGTAAAGTTAACAACATGGCTCAAATCCACTAGAAAATTTTATGAACGCCATAGGGCTTCGTCTTAATACCGTCAAGAAATGTATGGTTTTCCGTACGCGGCTTGTAGTTTGGAAACCCTGAATGCGAATTCGATGGCAGGTAGGAGTTCAAAATTATTCGTCAGTTGAAATAGCTTTTGAAAGCCGAATTATACCATACCTTCGCGCATAACATTTGAAGGCGTCATGTTCTACTGAATGAATAAAAGAATATATATTTTTATGCACACTTCTACTTGAAATATGATGAAATTTTTAGGGACACTGAAACACAATAAAACAAATGCATGATAATTAAGCAGGCATGTTTAGAGAGAATAGTTTGTGCATGCAGTCTGAAAGACGTTTGTTCAAAAGCCTGAGATAACTGAATTACTATAGAATTATGCTGCATGATGAATAATTTTACAACACTACTTAAATAACCCTTTTCGAAACAATAATCCCTTTCGTAATTTCGGTTGACATTTCATGCTTTAGCCCACCCACTGTACGTCCATAAGTTATCAAGTACAAACTGTGTCATTTGGTTCTTTTGTGTATAGGATCTATCTGCCATACTCTGGTAATTCAAATACAGTGAAGATTAAAAACGATAGGTCGTACATTTTGCCGATGCGAGATTTTAGACAGCTTATAGTAGGTGGCCTAACTCTTGAAGTGTCATGGTCGAAATTTGAGCAAGAAGTATATCACGCATTTGGCGTTCTTATTTGTGTTTATTAAAATGAGTTAGGACGCAGAAAGCCATTTACTGAAAAAAGGTTTATCTCAAGTCCGTTTTAATAAGGACAAAGACGCCAGATGTGGGCTAAATCTGAGTGTCCTTGATATCCAGATAATTTCCTACGCTATGGTAACTTGAAAATTCGATTTTGTTCCGAAGAAAATCAGGTGAGGGGAAGCTTGGGATTTTTCGTTTTTTTCAAGAATTCTTTTTCGTAAATTTTTGGCATTTCATGGCATAAAATTTGGTAATAATTTTGTTCTGCAGTAGTTTGCTTTACCACACCGAGAACCAATGTGCGCGCTACATGCGTGTCATGCCGTACAATGAACATATCCAGGCAATGTCTTTCAGCAGTCGACTGTGAAAGGACGCCGAAATTAGCCGCGGAAGGGTGGTCAAGTGAGTCGCTAATAAGTATTTTTAATAATGCTAAGGTTACTCTGTGGCGACTACTTCATGACAGAACCGTACCCAAAAAGAAGCAGAGTGGACAAAGACGTTCCACAAGTAAACAGGACGACGATTTTATTCGTCGAGCACTAAAAAAGTTTCATTGTATGCCCATTAAGACCACTCACAGGAAATATCTGCCGATGTTCTCTTTGGATATAATTAGAAAAAGAATTCGATAATTTGAACTTCATCAACAAAAAGCCATGATCAAGCCCTTTTTAAGTAGAACACGTATTACAATCCAGATGTCAGTCCCATCGAAAATCCTTTCGCACTTATCAAAAGACATTGGCATAATGGTAATAATAAAACGTCCATGCATGAGAAACACGATTTTTTTCTGGAAAATCACATTGAACAAGTTACTGTGTACAATCTGACCATCTTCTAGTCTGAAAGACTCACAGCCGTGATTGATGCAAATGGATAATCCACAAAGTACTGGTCGTTTGGATTTGTCATTATTTTACATTATTTTCACCATTTCAAGCGTCCCCCTTCATTTTGCACTCTTAAATTTAGACCTATTTAAGTGAACTTGTAATACGGACATTTTCTGACATTTCAGTTTTTCAGTGAAATTGTTTATTTCTACGTTAGGAAATATTAATTTATGACCCCAACTATGTCTTCTTTTTAAGAACAGTCATTTTTTACTGCCGTAGGATTTTAGGAAACGCAGGTTGGACGGATTTCGCCTTATAGGGATTTTCTTGTGCTAACCCATAGTATTTTATGAGTTAGCCCACCTACTGTACTTGGTCAGCTTATGTTTGAGGGCCTACTACGCGAATTCTGAGGGTCAAATGAGAACTCCGTGCACTTTAAGTGTCTGCAGTGAAAATTCCCCATGGACCGTTTTTTGGAATAAATGACAGGTTCAATTCTTATAGCGTCAGTATCTCGTAGACCCAGGCAAGAATTGCCACAGCTTTTCGACAGAAAGGCCAACAGCTCACAGTCTGTCTGGTTCACAAATTTTCGCCAAACGCCGGTAACGTACGTGCCAGCATACCAGGCTAGGACTGATTTCGCTAGAGCATGGCTACGTTTAAGTGTATTATGCAAAGTTTCACAAACGTTCAAGACGTGTTGAGAAAAGGAATTTAATTTAATCGTCGATTACGACCGTGTCCACCGTAAGTCCTCTAGTAGAGTGGACTCAGGGACGGTGACATCTGCATAAATGTTTTTGTCCTGACAACAGACTTGCGCTGCATCTGCCGCACCCTCCCCCTAACCCTACCGAAACAGGGTGTCAAGACAGTCAGGAATGTTGTAGGCAGATACATTAGGATGCCAGCTGTTAAAGGATCTTCTTTTCGGCCGCCTGCACAAATTAAATTATATAAAAAATAGCCGGACCCCGCTACACATTGCTGTGGCTCGATCTGCTGAATTGGGAAATAAGGGAAAGATGAAGGAGCACGTTCTCAATTGAGAAAAATGTAAAGGCCACCTGTTGGCGGCACGTATTGTGTGTGAAACCCAGGATTGTCCTTCTAGGCGCTGTCGAAGGCAGGGCACTTGTTTGCTGTACCCAGTCGCGCTCGGCAATTCCGGAGTAAGTGGTGACGGCTGGCATTTATTTCGTCCACCGGTGTCGATCGAAGCAGTGGTGGCCTGAAATCTCCTTCAAGCAGTAGCGGTGCATCAGAAATGGTCTGCTGTTTCCTCGCAAATCCTGCAGTGTTCGATCAGGGGCCCCGAGCGCTGTTTTGCGCCATTGTGCATTATGCGTTTGCATCGGTAAAGTAAACGCATTGCCCATTCTCTAATTGTACTGCAAGCGAACAACACCTGGACTTCGCTCATGGATGGGGAATGAAAGAATTCGCCACATGAATTTCTTGCCGTTGACGTATCTTCCAGCCCAACACTGTGCGACTTCATTGTGTTGCATGTCAGCATCCCTTTATCCCCTTTCGTGTTGAAGGCCGAAAACGGCCATATCGCTGCCTTTATGCACTGCTACGTTTTATGAATCCTCAAAAGGCTTCTTTTAAAAATATATTATTTTGATCATTTGGAAGAATGTTACGTCTTCTTCAAATGTTATACTTCAGGGTTAAGAACGATTCGATGTAAAAAGTTAATACTTAAGATATTTTCAAGACCACGAAATGCTCGTTCATAAGACATCGCGTTTATTCATTTAGTGATTTTGATTATAAAGTTTACATCATGGCTTATACCCACCGCTAACATTTATGAACCATATATGGCCATCTTTTAAAACCGTGTATGATTTTCCGTACACGGAAAGTACACAGCTTGTATTCTGGAAACCCTGAATGAAAAGGTAATGCAGGTCTGGTTCAACATTGCCCCGATATCAGAAACGATTATAACTATAAAATTTAACGAGGACGCAATGTTCTTCTAAATCAAAAAACTAATGGCTATTTTAACGCATGTTTTTCTATGAAATATATTTAAATTTATAACAGCACCGAAAATCAAAGGGAAAAAATTTGTACTGCGTTAGCAGACATCTCTTACATAGGTTTTTTTGCAGGTGGCCGAACAGAAGTTTTTTAAAAGCCGGCAGCCTAGAGTGACTGAATTATTATAGGTGATATACATTAAAGACGTATTTTAGAATTTCGGTTAACATTTCATGAGTTAGCATATCTACTATAGAATAAATCTTTCGCGTTGATTTTCAACGCCCTTATACACCTAAATAAAACTCATAGAAAAAATTCACAAAATATTCTTTCTCTTATTTACACTGTAGTAGTTCACGCTTTCTTCAAATGTTATACTTGGAGAAAGCGTATTATTCGAGTTCGAAACATCCTCCCTTTTGCCGACCAATTTAGAACCTGACCTGACGTTTCCCTTACGTTCAGGGTTTACAATTCCTAATATGTCTATCTTGCTTGTTAGGAAAATGTATGCTGTTAGGAAGATATCATGTAGAGTTTGTAACGTTTTCAGTAAATGTGGATTACATTGCAAACTTTACAATCAAACTTAATAAATCGCCGGATACAATGCTTTGTGGGAAGCTTTTTCGTAGTCTTACAAATTAAATTTAAACGTTCTGAGGGCCGAAATTACGCTTGTTTCCTTCAAATACATAATCTGAAGAAGGGAAAATTTGCCGTCAAATGAGCCCAAGAAGGGCTGCTTTTATGTACATTTTATTTGAAATATACTTTAATATATAAAGCCATCGAAAATCGATCGGGAAATTTACACAAGTTAAGTATTCAATTTACGTCCAGAGTAGTTTTGCGAGCGACTGCAAAGAAGCTCGCTCATATTCGGGAATAATTGAACAGACTTGTGACTGTGCTGCGCGCCAGCTAGTTCCACGAACTTATTAAAGTCCTTTTCTAATTGGTGCAGAACAAGGCCGTTCCAGCCATCTGCGCCAAGCCCGTGGGATGAGGTGCCTGACCGGCTCCGAGAGTGTTCCGTTGTCTGCGAGGGGGATAGTGAGTTCCGTTCTGCGGACTCCGTCCACTAAGCACTCAGTATCCCCAATCTCATGTGCCCACAATCAATCACGATTTGCTAAAATGCCGTAAATGGAGAAACTGTTCATTTTCGGGGTAACCCGGTCTTCCTATTAGGACGGATAGTTAGCCTGCAATGGCACCTCCTCGGTGTGGTCGATGTGGGCTAGAATCTGAACCGTCCCTTTCGGATACAATCCATCGTCTACACAAAACATGTATGGTCACTTGTATCAGGGGAATTGTTATGCAGTTAGCATAGGAGTCCCTCCTCGGTTCTATTATACCGTCCTAGTGTCCTCCTTTGGGCAGCAAAGAGAGAGAGAGTGGAATGCTTTATTTTGAAAATAACTTTCAAAACTTTCAGCAAAAACGGTTTTCCAGTACACAGTAATTACCATAGAGATTAACAGGTATTGGACTGGTGGACATAATTATATATGAAGAAAAAAGGACTTTAAGGTGCAAGATCGAGTTTTAGTTTTTGTTTTTCAACATCTTTACAGGTGAGATACCGGGCTAGAAATGGCAGTATGGAATTCCGATAGGTCGAAGTGCGGCAAGGGATGTGGCGGAAGCATCGATGCATGGGGCGTAAGGATTTCGCAGCCATTAACTCATTATGAAGGGGATGGACGGTTTCATTCAGAATTCGGTCAGCGAATTGCTCCACCGATTTGAAGTGTCGCTGCACGATGATATCAAAATTTATACACCAGTCTTGATTGACAAAAATGGCCACTCCTCCACCTCTAATGCCTGTTGGAGATGCTCTATCATTTCGAAAACAACAAAATGTCGAAGGAGTGATTAGTTCCGAGTCAATTTGGCTATTCAACCACGTCTCCTGAAGGCAAATTACTCCTGTTTTGCCATGTTCTTTGGTTGACAGAAGTAATTCCAAATCATGGGTTTTGTTAAATATCGATCGACAGTTAGTCGAAAGAAAACCCGGGATTGACAACTTGTTTTTAGGCTGGCGTTTAGGCGCAACTTGCCATCCACGGCGATGTTGCTTTCGAAAAATTGTCCTTTACTGATATGAGCGTGGGAAGGCCAGCGAGGAAGGACGAGAAACAGGACAAGTTGTCAGAGTGTAACTGCTGCTGGCACGGTGAGTTCGTTGCGTTTGGGAGCGTGAGAACGCCAACGCAGGACAATCGCAGAAACGACAAATTGGCCGCAAAGTGCAACCACTAGAGTCATGATCAGGAGGCGGAAAAATCGATGCAGAAATTTCGCAGGGTTTAAGCTCCTTTAAAAAGGTGCTAGCGTACTGTAAAGACAACCTTATAGGAACAGATCAATTAAAACAAAGGAATAAGACTGGGGCATGCAATTAATAAATATTCATGTGACCGGAGGGAAAAAACAAAAAATGGCGGCTCAATTTTAAAAGCCCGCCAGCAAAGACAGGTTGTGAGAAAGTAACAATGACGACGGACGTCAGTCATTACCCAACAACAAATTTCTGACAAAAACACAGAAGGGCATTGTCATGCATTAGAGGAACATTAACTTGCAGGGTGAACCTATTGCCTTTGGAGAGCAATGAACAGGCTAGTAGCTTTACCCACTCAATTCAGAAAACTAGAGGGAGAATGCTGGTGGACCCACAGGCGAGCCCAACACCTCGCAGTTGTCATGAAGCGGCAGAATATCGGCAAAAACGTGTCTGAACTTCTAGCCAGTGTCTGTGCTCTCAAGTATGACCTGTTGTGCTATCTCTGGTGCTGTATCTTGGCGGTATGTCAGGCTTCAAGGGCAGCCTATGATTTGCGCGATCGTATCGGTGATGGCTGCATGGGCTGTGCTCTGCACACACTGTTTGGTTTGATTTACAACCCACTTGATGGGAAACCCCCAACTTAACAAACAAGACAAACTGGCATGTTTGGTTATCGCAAACCGCGACAGTCGCATGTGCCCCGCCAACTCCTGCAGTCATGAGGACCTGCCTATATTGGACATCTGTCAGCGGGCACATGATAGGCCAGCAACCAACGGAATGCCGCAACAGGCACTCTATGTTGGACCCGCCTAAGCTCTTCCCAGGCGACCACTGCTGCTGGATTGACTGCTAGGCAGCGGTTAACTGTCTATGCGGGCGATCTCGCTGGGACGATCGGAACCCGGATGACCGTCAATTAGTCGCTGGCAAAAGACGTCATCTTTGGAAACTTCTTGACTCCCATGAACGCACGCTGTATTCGAGGAGCATTTTATGCGCCGAATCCGCCCGGTCTATCAGCCCATCCACATTGTGTGAAAGGGGACGTAGGGTCGAGCAAAATATCACCGGGACTTTGTGCAGGTGCATTGCCCGATACGTTTGCTCCTGAAACTGTAGAATGTAGTCATGTAGTCACTTTCGAATAATTCTTTACCTATCTTTTTTTTGGTCGTATAGTTGAGCCGGCGGTGCCCTTCCTCTCCTTCTGGGAAAACTCTGGACAGTCAGCCGGCTGGATTTCCTCTAATGATCTACGAACACGATCTTACCGCTGAGCGACAACGATAGTCTAGGAAAAGGAAGTTAGGCAAACGTTGTCTCTAGTAAATTTAGCTGAACCTATTCTGGTCGCCACTTCTGTCGAATGTGGTTGTGTAGCCCCACTTAAAGTAAATAACCCCTAGTCGCATTTACTACGGGCCCGGCGGTGATAGGGATTTTTAGAGGTGGGACCGGAAAAGGCACAGGAGACGAGGGGAAGTAGTCGTATGCAAAACAAAAGCTATTGGGGATACGCTGTTGAAATTTGAATGGTTGAAAAATAGTTGCGCTAACCCCTACGCCTAACCCCTAAGTATAATCACTAATCCTAAACTCTAACCCCTAACCATAACCTTTGACACTAAACCTAACCCATACCCATTGCCCTTAACCCCAACCCCGACACTATTGTGTCCATCTAGTGGAGCTACCAAACTGCATCGGACATAGTGCTCTTTGCAGACGATCTTAAACTTTGCAGAGCAATAAAAGATGAAGATGACGTCAAGATAATACAAGAGGAAGCAGAGAATCTGCACGCATGGAGCGAGAAATGGTGCATGAACTTCAACGTCAAAAAATGTGCAATAATGCACATAATATCAACAGCCCGAAGAACGAATGTACCCTACCGGCGGTATCTCCTGGGCAATCAACCACTTAAAACCTTAGATGTGAGAAAAGATCTCGGAGTATTCATTAAAGTCGACCTAAGCGTCACTACGCAGTGTTCTAAAGTCACAGTGCCTACAATGTCAGTAATGAGCGCGATACGAAGAACGTTTATTCACTTGAATAAAGATGTCTTTGGCAAAGTATACGGGACATTTGTGCGGCCGCAGCTGGAATATGCGGCACGGGCTTGGCGACCGTGACTTCGGAAGGATATAGATGTGCAACGACGTGCTACAAAGGCTGTTCATGGCCTCAAACGTTTCTCCTTTTTCTCACTGATGGTCATTCGCCAATGGAACTCTTTGACGGAGTATGTTATTAATTCCCCTACCATGAATGTGTTCAAGGTACAACTGGATAATTACCTGCTGAAAGGCAACCCGAACTGCTGAAGCCTGATCTAGCGGAGTACAGAATGATTCTTAACATACTACTAACACACTTACAGTAGATCGTTTTAAACATTAAACTTGACTGATATGGAAATTTTGGAGAGCTCGAACGCAGTGAACAATGTTTTTCGCAATTATTTCGCAAATGTCGTACCCTTTTCGAATTTATGTTCCACTATTAGATCTATGCTTTCTGATCACTAACACTGCATGCAAAATTTTTCCGAGTTAGCTATTTTCCTTTACATCTGTACCGCCGAAATGGAGTTTACAGGGCTTCTGTGGTTTACACCAAATGTACTGACTGATATATGGACGCGCCTATACCACAAGCAAAGCGTGGTTTGTGCGGATTGTCCTAACTTGATTCTTTCTTCACAAATAAAGGAGAAAGTATGAGTTTCATGCGTATGTTTGAGTAAGGAAAAAGGCTGGTCGTGTACCAGAAGATTTTATTTATTGTTCCGAGATCTCTAACTTGTACAGAAGTCCAGCGTCAGGGATAGCAGCAAGAACAGAACGAGCTACAATCTGGAGTATTGTATCGCATCCCGTGTCAAAAAGGCCTTGTAACTACCCAAGACAGACTGGGCGCATGCTCGGATAGCGTATACACGAACATAAGCTGGCTGTGCGACGAGGCGACGCATTATCACAAGTGGCCGCGCACACCTACGAATTGGGCCACGAATTTAACCTCGCAGCCACCAAAATAGTCGCCCACGCCGCAAACAGTAGGAACCGTAAATAAATTGAAGCCTGGGCCTAGGATGAGAACTCGGTCAATCGATTAATCGATCTGGTGCCGGCGTACACAGCCCGGCGTAGTCACCTCTACACTTGCGCGTCGATCCATGTTTGACTAACACACCTTTTGGCTGTCGCTGGTTCTGATGTTGCTACCATCCGTGACGACGAACTGCTGTACGAGTTTGAAAGCTTGGAATAACTAACAGACTGTTTCGGTGCTAGACCAGCTTTCTTTCTCCCTTATGAGTAACCATTCAAATTACACTTCCTGCCTCTCCTAGCAGGAAAACCTCTGACCCATACTCTTCCAATGCCACAGACATTCGCACCACTCGTAGCAGCCGTCGCGTCCACTTTCCCGACCGCTATCTCACTCAACTGCATTAACATCACATTTACCTTCGGTATCGCTTTAACGCCGGCCTTCGGTCCAGGCGGGGGGCACTGTAGTAGTCCATCGTCGTATTTTTTGCTTATACACTACTTTTTATAGTTATTCTGCTTGGTAAGAATTTCCTCAACTGGCATTAATTTACATTCGTTTAAGTCGGTGTTTATGCAACGGTTACGCGTAGACTCCATCTGGTATGAGTTACGATTCAAGTTAACTGACTTTTCACCCATTGCCTTTGTCATCCTCTGGTCGGCGTTGACAGCCAAGTCTTTTCTACCACGGCCGTTTTGCTTGGTTTTTCTCAACTTGCTCTTAGCATGCGATCACGTTATCGATTGGCTAGTCTCACTTAACAATCATTTCTGTCTGATAATGAAAACAACGCGTGTAGTGCCAACCCGTAAAACTCGTGCCAGCACTTCATTCACGGCAAAAACAATCAGAGAAATCGAAATATACTTCAGACTGCAACTGCCTATTCAGGGTAGATGTCGAAATGGGACCGAATGCCTACTCTCTCGCCTGCACCCTACCCCCTGCACCACCCGGCAAGCCCGACAATTGGCAGCAGCAGCAGCAGTTATTGTTTTCGTTTCCTACTGAGCACAGGAAGTGCTTGAAAACGGGCACGCAGCCTTTAGGTCAACCTACAACGTACTTCAAGCGACATCTGCTCTTGGTTTTGACGTGGAGCAGTCACGTGAGGACCGTATTCAGCGGAAAATCCACGCTGCGCTTTCTACACACGGTCAGTAGGAAAACAAAACGTGTGCCAGAGACTAAATCTGGATTCATGAGAATGGAGGTGGAGGCGGGGGTTTTTTGCGGGTTCGCGTCGTCTCTGATATGGCGGCCGCGGTAATGCAGACATTCGTAGCGAGTTCAAAGCAAATTAACGGAGGCATTTTTGCGATAACTGCTGCTTTGTCTTCCCTAATGCTACTTCGTCTGCGTAAAGTATGTCCGAGCAATTTATGATCAGAAATGCGCTTGTTGTGCAGTTCTTTCGAAAATGATGCCATCGAGGATGTTGTTCTGGGGTTTTCAATAAAGAGCTAATAGTTGCTAATGGCTAGATGTTTGCGCTCCTTTCAATCAAGCACTCACTTCAAACATTTCCAGGAGGTCAGGTTTTTTGTGTTCCGCATCCGCGAATTTATCCTGCACTTCCATTAGCCTTGCTGTTTTCGTCCTACCGAATCAGTCATGCCACCAAATATTTTTCTTGCAAATTTCGTATACTCTGGACTCACTAATTGATGCTGAGGAGGTTATAATATTCGCAAATAAATTGAACGATGCTTCTAGTTTTTATCTCACCTACTTTCCCACATATAAACTGAGCTGAGTGGAACTGAACTGAAGCTTAACTTATTATTGGAATCGGCTGTCACGGGGGTATATATTTATGTCAGTTTGCACAGATAATATCGAGAAGAAGCTCAGCAAAATCCAGGACTTCCTTCGAGAAAACGGGTATCCTGACAGGTTTATTGCAAACCCGACACGCCGACCGCCGAAAAGAAAACTTTGTTCCTCAAGGTCCCTTTCAAATGTGACGCGGCGAGTGAACTCCTTGGGAGACGACTTGATCAAGCTGTCTCGCGAACCTTCCCAGTAGCAAGGGTTCAAAAATCATTCTCTACTAACCCTATTTTACGAGGAGAATGTAAGGATGAGTCGCCACCGCAGACCATCTCAATGTGCATATATTCCTTCACTTGCTCCTGTGGAGCAGGTTTTATTTGTCGCATGAGTCGGCGCTTATCAAAGTGAATACGGGAACACCTCACGACATGGCTGGTAAAATGTGAAACGAGGGGCATGAGCAGCGTCATTCTCGCACATGTTGTCGATTCGGACATTGTGTGGACCCCGAAGAAGCTTTTCGTGTAATTTATAAGGTCCCATCGAGCTACCCTAAGACGCTAGGCCAGCGCCTGTTAGCGACAGCGGAAGCGGCCGCCATTAGATTACGAAAGCCAGTCTTATGCGCACAGAGGAATCACGTTCAGGCTCCCGCGCCTACAGTGGTCGAAGGTCGACTAAGGGTGCGACTCCCCTGCGCACTTCCGCTCTCACCCCGCCCCAGACAGTAACTGCTATTACCCCTCCCCTCCCCCACCTTCCCACAACCCGCCTGTGTTTTAAGTAGACCTTTTATCGATTTCTCTGATCGCTGGCCTCCTTTATTTCTCCCTCGTTCCTATATAACTGTACTGGCCCGACGAGAATTTATCGAAAGCCAGCTTCCTCGGAAATTAAAGAAGACACGTTGAAACTGGAGTTTATATACCAGAAAACACACGGGGAAAGCTGGGAGACCCACTGACGAGTCGAACCCCTCGCAGCTGCGCCAGGAAGCGGCATAAGATCGGCGAAACACGCGTGTCTGGGCTTTTAGCTAATACCTAATACGGTAAATCATTGCACAAAGCTACGTATGCTCGCCATCTCGCTTTCCGATTTTGTTATATGATATTTATAGCACTCCTACTAATTTTGCTATCAGAGCAGCCTACGTTCCTCTGTGTCTAGTAAGGGGGTGTGGTGGCAAACCTTGGTGAGGGTTTACGCCGTACCAGCCATCTGGATCGGATACCTCCCGTGGTCTTCCTGACTCTGCCTACATACGGTCCAGATGGCTGGGGTGGGGAGAGTGTGGCAAACGCGGTAAAAGTCCAATATTATCGTTAGCTAATTCACGTGCAAGTTGCCTTCAGTGCTCTACTCTTCTGAGAAGCAAGCAGCAGAAGTCGTTGTAGCTGATGGATCAGATGAAGTCATACATCTTTCCAATTAGGTACATATGAATTTATAGGGACCGTGGAGGCCGCACTGACGTAGTCTCAATCGATCGCTTGAAGGTGGCTAATACCGGTCCTCTTCCAAGTTCTCCAACCGAACAATCCTCTCTTGGCACATTGCCACTTGCTATTTCCCAGACTCCATTTAAGCCTTATAACCCCGCGTCTTTACTTATCCCACAGACTCCTCCCCTTACGCGCAGCGGTCGTCATGTCCGTTTTCCCGACCGTTACCAACTTGTACAATATACATGACTCTCCCAAATTTTCCTTCTATGAACAATATTTTTTTTGAATTCCGTTCTCCTAGGAGGGGGAGTATTGTAGTGACATTTAAGTCCGTTTTGTTTTTATCAGTTGCAATACGCTTTGGCACAACTTTGAATAATACAAAGAACACGCACGCTCACCTTTACCTGCTGACGACTTTGTTCTTATTTACTAGTTTGTAATTGTTGGGATACTGCTATTTTCGTTTCTCGGATAGCCTACTTACCGTGCCCAACTAATGTCTTTATCACTTGCAAAGTCATCGATCTTTCCAATGAGGTACATTTGAATTTATAGGGGCATTTAAAAAATTCGAAAAAAATCATGATACTTAAGCAGTCATTTTCACGGACTGTTGCTTCTGCAGGCGGCAGGAAGGTAGTTCGTTCAAAAGCCGACATCCCGATATAACTCAAATGAGTTGGGATTATACAGCACGATAATTAATGTGGCAACCCTAGTTAAGTAATATTTTCGAATCGGCCAACATTTCGCGAGTTGGCAAATTTACCGCATATACATCCACGTTGGTAGTGGGGCACTCACCGATTGCACTATGTTACATACTTGTCTCACTGTGCCTTTGAAATCTCTCTCTTTCTCAATTGATCCACTGAGTTTCGGAACGTCATCGGTGAAATCCCCTTGACCACTTTATATAGCCAATCGAAACCGACAGGAGAACTAGCCCATGGCTCAACGAATAAGAATTTGGACATCTAGCCGGCCGTTTCTGGGATCTAGCCGTAGAATTTGTACGCCTCTGGGTTGTGTGTGGCTTGCTGACAGCGGCTAATCAGTCAGAAATGAACAATCCGGCCTCCCTTGACTTGGTCGATAATGCTACTCTGCCTATGTATAAATATATATATATATATGACACTGTTCGTAAAATGGAACAGATGGTGTGTTTATTGGAGAAACCTATTTTGAAGTAAAATGGTACATCAAAATAATTGTTGGTCAATTATGTGCAACAACATTCTGTTGGATCCAGCCGAGCACGGGTGGAGTCAGGGCAAAAACTGTGAATTCTCCAGAGCAATTTTTGCCGGTGTAAGAGGCTACGCCGTAGACAACCCACTTGCCATCTTCTGTTAAACAGTGCAGTCCTCCTCCGCTGTCGCCCGTACAGGCAGTCTGAATGTTAAGAATAGCAAATCATTAGTCTTGTTATATTGGATTGTCCTGTGCGTTCATGTGATTTTCAGGCATTCGGAATTCTATAATTTTTAATTTTCGGCGTGTTTTCATGTAAAATGTACTTTTGTTTCTCTAACCAGGCGATTGTAGAATCTGTTTATTAATATATAGTTCGAATTAAGTTTTTCTAATTGCGGCCCAGAGGAAATGAAATGGCAGTTAAGCAAATATAAAAACTCCCGACGTCTTCGCTTATTCGAGTTCATTAGACTCGTTCATTCTATTTATATCATTCACAATTCTTTAATGCTATTATTTTTTCTATGCTTTCACATTATATGCCCTTTTGTTTCTCTAACCAGGCGATTGTAGAATCTGTTTATTAAGATATAGTTTGAATTAATTTTTTCCATTTGTAGCCCAGAGGAAATGAAATGTCGCGTTGGCATATAAAACAATCTTCTGACATCTTCCCTCAGTGGCGGCACTGGAGGCCGTCAAAAACAGTCTGACTGTTTACGAGGAACGTTCTATTGTTTAAGGAACAGCTCAAGGATGGTTTGTCCTTTCCAAAGAAGACGATTTTGATACGACGAACTTTCCGCTCTCCGAACAGGTATCACTCTTTATTGAGGATTGTCTACGTGTTTTATTCCATACAGATCTGCATCAGACAACTCGCGAACCAGCCAGAGAAATGGAATGTGAAAAAACTGCAAAAAATAACTCGACGACTCTCGCTCCTAGGGACAGCCTAAATGACCAAAAAAGCAAATTACTAGGTTTGATCTACTTTATCTTTGTACCTTCTAAAAGGAAATCTTACCCCATATTTGCCGTCAATGCAAACATGCTTTCTGCTGTCAGGCAAAGGATGTCTTTTCTGACAGTCAGACATCTTTGCTATTGGCCCTCGTACTTCCATTAGCACTTCCGGCTGATTAGGATCCGGTGGTTTTGGGGGATTTGGAATTAGTCCCCATCCGGCAAAGTAGCAGAATTTTCCAGCCTCGAATTTCAATCCGGATTTCGCAAGACATGCGAATTCCGCCACCTTTGCTATGACGATAAAAAAAGTTGAATTGCCAGTTTTCATTCCATATGCAGGAGGTCTTTTAGATAAGAAAAGTTCTATAGTATGAAAAGCTCAAGATGGCTCACACGTTAAATGACACTTCAGCAATAAGGAGATGTGGTAGTTAGAACAATAATTTTATACTCCTGCCTTCCGATGTAGGCAGCATGTGAACTTCTATGTAGCATAATTAACAACTCCCACAGTCGTCCAAAGATGGTTGTAAAATCATTTCTCCAAGTTATTGTGATTTATATACTTACAGTCATGACGATCATGTTAAAGTGTAATTTACTATAAATGCAACCGTCAACACGAACACAACTTTTTTTATAGCTTCCTGCATTACTTGTATATGGCAGATTGAACCATTTGTTTTGGAGAAACCCTTAATGCACAGCTGTTAATTTCATAAAGTAGCCCTGTTGAAGGAGAGCATACACTTTGCTTAAATCAAATTAGTCTGCATTAAATAACACTGACTCTTTTGCAACAAAACTCAAACCATATGTCTGAACATACATCGTTTGACCTTGTGGTTCAGCTTCAGTAAAGCAAAGTCAAAGCCTTTCCTAATTTCTTCAATTTCGTATTGCGGATGCATGATGATGTGCTTTACTCGAAGGTTGAATGCTGGACGTCCACGCCGTGTGCGATTGTGGTCTCCTATGCGAACGACCATTTCATCCTCGACGAACTCATCGAACGAAAAGGGTCGACCAAGTGGAATTTCTTTACATCGAAGAGCTCCAGTGATACAGTGAGCGGCCGTCAATACCCATGTTGGCGAAATGAGCGTCCCTCCGCAAAATGGATAGGGCCCAATCGTTGAAGCGTACACACCAACCTATTGAAAATAAAAAAACGAAATTAGCTTTAGTAATCATCTTTAGATTTTTAAATCGTCAGTTGATAGCACATTCCATATATATTGAATAGATAAAGACGGTTTCCAATGACGGGGGTCAGTGTAGACTGCCAACTGATTTCCATAAATATAATTATTACGACAACGGGCAGATATTGTGGTTTTGCCATGTGCCAATATGAATCATGTTGATTTCTGCGCAGGAAGATCTATGCTTGTTATCTAACTTTGGATAATTAACAAAGAGTTGTGCACACACTAGACAACATACAAGTGCAACCTGTCACATCTGTCGACTTACTTGCCACGGCCAACTATTTTTTACAGCTTCTTTCTTTCCACGTGGATGATCTGTCGACGGCTTTGGTACTTCAGGGCGATTTCCGCAATTCTCGGGCAGTCCGTTGATCAGACGTTCTTCTTTAGCTAACGTGAGATGATATTTATGTATGAACATTCAGTGAAGGGAAGTCATTATGACACAGTAAAAATTGCATAATAATGGACTGATGTAAATTTCAAAAAATGTCGACAACGTTGTGGAGCAGGAGCCCACTTAACTGGCCACAGACTGTGGATCACGTCATAGGACCTTTTATCTTGGCATTCATTCACAGGCCATTGCAGGCATTCATTACCAAGGACAATCACTTTCCATGACTTCGAATTTCCACTCAAAACCCCTTTATTTACTTTGAAAATGACTTTCATTATTACCGCGCTCATTCCCACTGTCGTACAAAGGCGTACGATGAGTCTTTCAGGAGAAATACAAATAATTTCTCTGCTTTCCTGCATTTCCTCAGCTTACTGTCCTGTCTGCTGCCCCATCCGTAAAACTACCCCTATCGCCAATCACGTATGACACGATCCGACTGTAAAGTGGGATCCTTCTCCATACCGTCGCCGAAATATCGTCTCTAAGAAACTCGACTTGTAAAGATGATAACTTTGGCATTACTACTTGAAGCGTCTATTTGTTTTCTTCAATTATATAAGTTAATACCTGTTGTGCTGTTAATCAAAGTGAAGCACGCTGCGTAGATGTACACCGCAAGCCACATCTCACAGTGTTCTGATGGCCCTCAAATTCTGTTAAATTCGGGGTAGTTCCTCTGCTTAAATACCATTAGTACCAGGTGTTCACATACTATCGTAGCGAACCAATGGCAAATAACGAAAACACGATCTGCTTACCATGAATAAAAGAAAAGGATAATTCCCACGAAAGTTTCCTACGTTACTTGATGTAATCTCATGCCACTGTTACAAAATAGATGGCCTGGAAATGCCTTCAGCGGAAAAAAAGGATTTACACTCGGCAATTGTGGTAAATTTACCGCGACACAACTTCCTCAAAACCGGAGCTTGTTTTCGAAGAAGTGATTGGATCTAACAGAAATTTAAAAATTACCAAATGACTTGAGGTGCGCGGGTAAAATTAGGAGTAGAGCGCACCATCAGAAACACCTGGAAAGCGAGACTAATAATATATCATATAAAAAAACTAGAATCGCTGGAGTTTTCAGTAACTTGGGACAAAACGGAATGCGTGCTGGAAAATTCTGGTATCCGAAGGAGCAAAGTAGCGTGCGTGATTTGATAGGGATGACTATATTAATTTTGGCAGACATTCTCCATATGAAAGATGTAATGGGTCAAAAAATTAAGGGTTCCCAAATCAAAAGTGAGGAAAGACAGTTAGGTAGACGAAGTTTAGAGAAGCCACGTAATATTCACGTCCCCCAGTAAACAGTATCGGCCAACGTTCTCATTAGTCAAGTGTCAATCAGCATTATTTGACGTAACTCATGAAATTTGATGACGAAGATTGAGAAGAGTAATTGTGGACAGGTACACTGATGCAAATTTTACTTAATCACCTAGCCTGCTCCATAAAGTGCACTTTTTACATACGCAATATGCTTATGAAAAATTTTATTGATCATAACAAACTGGAGGCAACTATCAGGCGTCTGGTAATGAAACCGAAAGACCTGCTGCCACGGCAAGAAACGTCTGGAGTCGTTTATCGGATCTAGTGCAGTTGCGCAGAAAGCAACTACGTCGGAGAAACCGGGGGACAGCTCCGAATACGAATTGTCGAACACGATGCAGCGGTGCGGAGAAATGACGCCAGCTCTCAAGTTGTGACCCATTCGACGAGATCCGGCCACATTCAAATTTGACAAGGCCGAAATTCTCGCATGAGGTGGCAACCGCGTGAGCCGGGAGCTACTTAAATCATGGTTTACTAGCCCCCAGTCCATTAACAAGTGCGATGAACTTCCCCTTCCATACTCGGTGCTGAGACTTTGCCTAGGCGAAGTAATTAATCACGCGGGGAACGCACAAGTGAACACGTTTCTTAACACCGGGGTCGGTACGTCAGATGATCAAGCAATCATCACACCAACATCCAACGCACGTGATAAAATTACGGCCATTAGCGACGCGAATGTCGGGCATCAAAAACTGCCAGAGTTCATCAAAAATCTCACGATTATGTAAATGCTGATTCATAGGTTAGGATCTTATGATCTACTAAGTTTAGAAAACCACCTACGTGGACCTGAGCAGTCTTTTGTCAGACAGCGAATATTGGGTTAATCTGCATGTGGGTTCACATCCTATGCACAGAAAGGAAAGTGCGGTCCAAACGACAAAATGCCATGGCCGAATCACTTCAGAAAGTATGTAAAAAAAGATCAACTTATTTGAGCAAACCAATGCACAGGCATCGTCCTTCATTAGGTGACTCAGTTTGGAGCGTTGGCAAAGTCGTTTTTGGCAGTCGGTTATGAACGCTGAATCTAAAATGCGACACCGTGGACTACATACAGTAGGTGAGCTAAATCATAAACCGTCAACCAAAACTGCGGAATGTTTTTTCGCTTTGAAAAGATTAATTAAGAAGAGTTGTAAAACTAGTCATTGGGCAGCGTGCTTCTATAATAATCCAGTTACCTCAGGGTGCCGGCTATTAAATGAACTTCTTTTCCGCTGAGTGCAAAAACTGTACTCCGTAAAAATGACTACTTATGTACTATGCAGTTGTCTTATTGATTTTCGACGCCCTTAAAGACCCAAATATATTTCATGAAAAACATGGATAAAAATATTCATTCTTCTACTCATTCGGTGGAAGATTACATCTTCTCCCAATTTTATACTTGAAAAAAATGCATACTTCGGGGTTGAAAACCTTTTTAACTATGTGATTCCTTTTCACCGTTAAATGCCCGTTCATAAAACGTCATGTCTGTGCATATACCAATGTTGCTTAAAGATTTAACGATATGGATCAAATCCATTTGAGAGGAGAGTACCTTACTCTCTGCGTTTTTACTAAAGGAAGCTTCTCGCATTTGAAAACTGATGTTTTGTTTGGGCTGAGTAAGTTACTTTTGAGAGATTTACTAAAAAGCGTTTGTCACGTTAACTTTGGGAAGCGGTTTGTTAACACACAGATTTGTTTAAGGAATCTGAACGTTTTTCTGCTTTTATGGAAGTTGGAGTAGCAAATGTATGCAATCTGACGCCTTAAACTGCAGTATTACCGCTCACTGGCAGTTGCTCGTTTGAATGCTTTAAAATGGTTTTTGTCATTTGCTTAGAAATGACAACCATCGAATAGTCATTTTCCGTACTGAACTTATGAAGTATTACTTTGTGCACAGACGCCAGACTATCTTGCCTTTCCTTACCTTTTCCTCATTCTTGAACAATTATAGATATATATATATATATATATATATATATATATATATAAATTCAGCGATATTAGTAGGCTTATCAGAGACCTAAGTTTTGTCCACTATAGACGATAAGTGCAAATTAATTTGACGATGGAGCTCTTTGAGTCGTATATTTTCTCCCTTCCCATCCCCTTTTTTTCTCAAATATTATGCACGCAGGAGTTTAAACTCCAAAGGAAGAATGGATACTTGGGCTCAGTTTTGTTTATCCAGGTAGAGATATGCCGTTGATGTCGGTCCTAAGCAATAACGTGAACAGTCAGCGTGTGCAGGTGTGTTTAATTGCTCATTAAGTGGTGTGCGGGCGTTCCACCTTTCAGATTCTAGGGGAGTATTTGTAGTTTTCCACGAGATGCTTCTTATCAAGCTAGGGAGACAAATGTAAAAAAAGTAGAGTATTTTTAATTCTGATTCCTCTAGCAGAAAATTTTTGAGACTCGCTAGTGAGCTTAAATGCGTTTTTGTCCGTGATATTGATCATGGGCCTGGAAATTTACGACAAAAATTAACAAGGAAAAACATTGAACGAGGGCGTTGCTATGAAAAAAACTGAAGCTGTCTGGCGCTTAAGTCTGTCCCACGGGAGAATAGACGTTGTTATGCTTTCCAAAGAAGAGAGTTAGGAAGCAACTATACCAGCTTGCGTATTTTAGAAACGAAGAAAAGGCATTATAGTTTCCACTATATGCACAAAGAAAACAAGTGCATAAACAGCTGTGAAGGCAATGCCGTGGGTTTCTGCCTGAATCGTTTGACCCCAAAGAAATTCGCATCTGGAAATCAATGCTCTGCTAGTGTCATTGAATGACTTCTACCTTTATTCTGCTTTACATTTCTGCGCCTATTTCCCTTAGATATAGTGGTCTTTTTTTACATTCCTTGTTTGCTTAAACTACAATTATGAGGTCATCTCAATAGTACGCTATTGCCCTTTTGCAGGGAATTAAATCGTCGATTTAACTAACGCTTGTCCATCATGCGAACCGCTGCACCAGAACGTTGTTGGATGATGACGCCGATTCGCAGCCGATTGCTACACCGGGTTTATTCTGCTTTCGAACGGATAGAAAAAAAATTATCTTTTGGCAGAGGCGGAGACGTCTCTATTGTTCATATTGACGTAACTATGACAAACTCGGTGTATCGGTGGGATTCGATCCCTCGCAGTAAGGAAAAGGCTTTAGTACAGCCAACGCTTTAATCACGTGAGCTATGAGGCTCCGACGGACGACGCGATTTTAATCACATGTTGGGTCAAGTTACCCGCCCAACTTACTGCATCGTCTGGAATCCACCAAATCTGATACGGTACGTTGACTGCCCAAGCAGGATTTTTTTTAATTAATTCACCTATAATCCATCAGATAACTACTAGGCTAACGTAATTCATAGATGATTTAAATTATACGAATATTTATATCAATATGCGTAAAGATTCGAGGTCCAGACATTGCATCACGTTCATTATCTCCCGAAGAAAAAGAAGAAGAAGAGAGGGCGAATTCATGGACCATATTGTACTCGAACTGACGTTTCCGAAACTTCCTCGGTTCCATCATCAGAGTGACGTACTTGTTGCTTCTGCCGGCTTGAGTTGTTCAGTCTTGCAGCTTGCCTCGTATTATAGCCGTGCTGGACGCACGAACTTTGACCTGCCTGTTTGCCGCTGACTGGCTTAGACCTCCCCGGAGCTGACCGCTGACAGGTCTGCGTGACCTTTGTTCCCTTTGGGATCGGCGTAATTGGGGTCAAATCAACGTGCCGCTTGGCCTCTCCCACGTCAGCTGGTGGACAGAGCGGTCGTTGATTTTCATGTAAGCAGCATTCAGCTTCGCGGGTGCATCGGTGAGACAGTGTTCGGCTTTGGCCACATGACCTCCTGCCCCAAGTCCGCTCTTCTCCGTGAGCGTTGACTCTCTGTCCCCCGTGCTCGCTTGCCGTACTGGTCCTGTCCGGACTGATCCGAGCCTTGTACGCAGCGCCTGGTAGGCGGGATGTAGATCTATAGCTCGGTTGATTGTGCTAGTCGAGGACCAACTTTCGAACACCATTCTGGCCATCTCATTGGATCGACCAATTACCCTCGCTTTCTTAAAGCCAAAATCGTGATTTAATTGCCATAGCCGAAAGACAGCTTGGCCTCGCGGTTTATTGCAAGTTTGTGTTCGTGCAATCTTGTACCGAGGCCTTTGCTAGTTTCACCAACATACCTCGCAATGCAATTTAGGCATGGTATGTTGTAGACCACCGCCGACTGTTCTGTTGTTGGTAGAGGGTCTTTGGGCTTCATGATTTCCTGTCTGATG